GAGAGAGAGAGAGAGAGAGAGAGAGAGAGAGAGAGAGAGAGAAACAGCCCCAGGGAGAGGGTGTTAATGAGAGCGTGGTTGGTTCCCTGTGGCAGCTGAATGAGGTGGAAGAGAGAAGGGAGGAGAAACGCATTTGCAGTGGAATTAAATAAACTGTGAGTGGTGACAATGGCAGGAAAGGAGAACTGGACCCTTTCTCTGGGTGGAGCAGGAAGTGGGGGAGAACAAGTTGGAGAAAAAGCAACAGAGTTGGTGTGGGGCATGGAGGCCACGTGTGGCCACCTCTTCAGCCATAAAATGTTTGTGATTTGGGTGATATTCCTCAAAGGCACCTATGTATGCTCTTAGGTCAGGGAGTTCCAAAATGTACTTTACAGTGAGTCACACACACAGTTTGGGAACATTCATGAAACATCAGTTCATCGTTAGGCAGTATTGATCTAGTTCTCAGATGCACTGACATGAGGGCAAGAGACAGTTTACGATCCCAGGAATTTACTGTCTTAAAAAGAAACCTTCTAGGCTAAAAAGGCCATGAGATAGAGGGGGAAATTTGAATATAAGCTACATATTTGATAACAGTATTTTATCAACGTTGAGTTTCCCAAGCATGGTAACAGTGGGGCCCTGGTTACATAGGAGAGTGGCCTTTTTCTTAGAAGACACAGACTGAAGTATTTAAGAGTAAAGTATTTGCACGTCTGCAAATTCTTAAAGGTTCAACAAAAAAGTTATATTCATATATAGTATAATAACTACATGATTATTTCATGTACATGTCAAATTATATGTATTACATATGCAAAAATTAGATACATGTATAATTAGAGAGAGAGTGCACAAATGTGGCAAAATGTTAACAACTGGTGAATCTGGGTGAGGATTCACTAGACCATTTCTCTACTTTTTTTTTTCTCCCTGACTTTTCAGCTGAAATTTTTCAAAAGAAAAAATTTCAAGGGGCTAAATAACTAGCCCTGCGAGGAGCTGGGAACTCTCTGGTCTGTCAAAGCTCCCTGCCACGGGGGACAAGGGCCTGGAACTGCCCATCTCCTCTCTTCCCCAGGCTCTTCCCTCCCCTTTCCTCCCAGCCTCTCTGCAAAAAGGAAAAGAGCCAGCTAACTTGATTAGAATTTAAAAACAACACACCCAGGGGAGAGAAAACAGAAGGGCTGGAGACTGAAGCTCCAGGCCTGGCTGTGTCCTCAGGGCTGGCCAGCGCCTCAGTGAGCTAAAGCAAGCCACAGATGACACGGGGCAGGTCACCTCCCACACACCCTTTCTGCTCACCCCTCCCTAATTCGAGGGCATCCCTTAGGGAAAAAATTTCAATTTATTTTATATTCATTCAGCAACTCAGTAGCAAAGGGGGAAAAGAAATGTTCTTTTTCCTCGAATATACACAGAAAGATCACACACAAAAGAGAAGGCAAAGGCCCACTGACCCACCCACCAGCCTCCAGCTCTGGATTCTCCCAGAGTGCACCGCCGTCTCCCCCACATATGCTGCTTGGCCATGTTCCAAGCTTCCTCACCTCTTCCCTCCCTTGCTCGCATAATAAACTGAAGAACTAGACCTCCGGATCCTAGGAGTCCCTCCCCGTGCCAGCTGCCACTTGTCAGTGCCTGGGGCCCCTGGCCACCGAGCTGGCCCGGGGACATCACCTCCATGTCTCCACATTGCTGGGGTCCACCTCTTGCTCTGCCATCCATCCAGGGACTTCTGGGGTTAACGGAGGGCTAACCAGTCCTGGCTTTTCAAAAGCCTATGGCTTAAACACCCACTAACAAATATGCTCGTCCAGGTGTCCAGAGGAGCAGCAGGAAAGAAGTAAATCAGGCAGTCAGGCTGCCTCATGGGGCTTTATCTCTACTCATTTTGTCACCCCATTAGACACAGGGCTGGGGCAACAGGCACTTGGTTTGCAAACGCCTTGTGACATTCGGTGAGTGAGCACTCACCTCCCCAGTCACTGCTGGCTGGCACAGGGTGGCTGGGGGGAAGCCGCCTGCGCAGACACGTTCCTCAGAGACCATCACAGACTGCAGACCCAAGACAGTACCACGAGCCCTACCCAGAAATATAAGGGGCTTTGGTGGGTCTTGGGCTTACCCTAGAAAAGCAGATCACCCCTCTGTCCAAAGAAAATCATTTATGTCAGGTTTCTTTTAAAATTTTGTCTAGTTTCCAGCTGGGTCCTTCCTAGAAAGGTGGTGGTTTTCTTCCCTTAGGTGCTATTTTGCCCAGTTAAGCACAGGAACTGATTCCCCCCAAGAGCAGGGTGAGTCAGTATCCCCCACTCTGGGAATGGAGAAATGGGGTGCTTCATTGGATCCTTGACTCCATGCCCAGGCCTGTTGCATGGAACCTCCTCAGCGGGGGTGCAGCCTGCTGGCAACAGCTCAGGGACTGGAAAGAAATGGGCCCAGTCCAAATTTGTACTGCCTGGGGGTGGTTTCTACTGACCACACCCTGGGCAGGTTGCAAAGGGGACCCCGGGAGTTGGGGGAACTCAGGCCCCTGGTGGTGGGATGTGGTTGAGGCTCACGACTTATGCCTGTCAGAGTGCAAAGCCTCTACCTTAGAGCGAAACTTGGAGACACCCAGAGGACCCTGGGATGACAGCAACATCTGGGTCAGAGAGTCCTGGCACGCGGGCATTTTGCGGCATCATTTCAACTCTTGTTTGCTTAAAGCAAAGGTTACAGTCACAGTCACAGAAAGAGGAGGAGGAGACGTGGACATCACGTTAAGCAGGTCCTCTCCCCCACTGCAGCTGAGGACTGTGAGCCCAGGGGAGAGATTGTGAAGAACTAAGGTCTGAGGTATATTCTTAAACCAGCAGAAAAATGACTGTATAATTTTCCCTTTGGTCATCCAGGAACCTTTATTAAAACAGTCAAGTCATGACCATATCCTGTTGAAACATTAAGCCAAATGAATCTTCTTCAGGCAGCCCTGCCTTTCTGCTCTCAAATTATACTTTTTGATGAGCATCAAGGAGAAGGAACTGCCACTTACTGCCTTAATTTCTGGAAATACCTGTGTTTCCCTTCAGAGGAGGACAGCCAGGATGTGTCTGCAAACCCGCTATAAGAGAGGACCCCTCCACCCAAGCACCCCCTTGCACTGTCACCTCAGCCATTTGTCAAACTCTCAACATGCCTCTCCGAGTTTCATCAAAATGCTGACAACTCTAAAAAAAAATCCCTAAGGAGGAATTTCTGGGGTTTTGGAGATTCCATTAAAACTACATTATTCGGTCGGTGTTCCCACCCCACCTGCCCACCCCTAGTGTATATATTTCTTAAGCAAGGAGACTGAAAGAAATGGGTTGGAATATCGGTGCTGGTATTAAAACTCTGACATGCCCTATATGGATCACCAGTGTGGAGGAGACTTCTGAGTAATTATGAAGCAGTCTTAGTGTGTTCTTATTCAGGGTCAGTGAAAAAGAAAATCCCATGCCCGAAATGGCTTATTTGCACCAGCCCAAGAATCTGCCTCTCCTCCCTGCTGGAAACAGACCCCCCAACCCCCAGTCTGTGTTTGGAAAACCAACCTGTGGGCATCAGTAGCTCCATACGAAACAAGTAATGGGACAAAGAATCCAAGCTGGTGTTTCCCTCCACTCCTAGAAACCTAAACTCTAATGCTATTTCATTGTGCTCTGCCGTTTTCTTAAACACAAACCCTAATGTTGCTTTCTTAGACATTTTCCCCATGTAACTGAAGGCAAAACATTGAATATTTGATCTCGTCTTCTCCATGAAGGAGCTAGCAGGCTCATAAATAATCCATCGACCTGATTCATTTTTCTGGAAAAAACAGATCACCCAAAAGATACACACAAGCTTTTGTCATGTCTGACTCTTAGAAATTCTATCCCTCTCAAATTCTTTAGAACCCCAACTGAAAAAACAAATTCATTATTCAAAAGACCCAGTGCAAAAGGAAACGTGTTCCTTGGTGTTCTTCAGCTCCAGAGAGATCTCTCTGACATGTGTTTGGATGTACACATTTTTCAAGCAACTTATGGTTACACTCTTCAACTGTAAAACAGCTCGTGGGAGTTTGAGTTTCCCATCAGTTCTGAAGGGGCCTGTGAGAGGTCTGCCAGAGAAAACCGCCCAAGCCCACCGAGACTCGCCCAACTTAGGTGTCATTCAGAGATTTCTCTAGATATTTGGACATTTATGTCAACCAGACCCTCCTTGCAGAAACGGTTTTGCATAAAGCCACTTGCATGCCAGGGAGATAAGTCAAGATCAAACATAAGCCGTGGGTTGAAACTGAAGTAACTTTTCCAAAGCGCAGGGCATTTTGCTTAAGACCCTCTCTACAAGGTCTTCCTCTGGTACTCAAGACATCAAAAGCCCCAGCATGCAGTAGACAAAGGAGCCCTCCACAGCCCGCTGGTCGCTCCATGGTCCTCTTGTCCCTCGGCCCGCCTGCTGTCCACACCCGTGCTCACAGGGAGGGCGGCAGCAAAGCCCACCGCACAGGCGCCCCAGTGTCTGGCGAGGCAAAGTGGGGTGAAGTTCTGCAAAGAAGTGTGCATTAGAATCCGGAAAGGACGCGCACCCACCTGCCGGCCGTCGGTGGGGAGGCTGGCCCGGGCTCTGCGCGGCGGGGCGACCCTCGCGCCCTCGAGGCCCTGGGGCGGCCGCTGCTTGTGCCGCAGCTGGCGCCCGCGCGGCCGTATTTGTACTCGCGTTCCCTCACATGGTCTGATCTCTAGATATCCGCCGCCAAAGAGCTCTTTAAGAATTTTTGCGTCACTTTGAGCTGCACAAACTTTACGTTTCCCGGCGGCCGCGGCTCCTGGGGTGGGGGCGGGGCTGCGCAGCGTGAGGAGGGGGCGTGGGGGCGGTGCCGGTGGGGGGTGGTCCCACTGCCCTGGGAAGCTGGGGAGCCCGGGCCAGGGGGCGCTGGCCACGGCGAGCCGAGCCGGGAGTCCTAACTTTCCGGCTCTTAATTCCTGTGGGGACGGGGCCGCTCCACGGCGGGCAGGTGTATTTCCTCCCCTACCAGTTGCTCTCCAAACTTTACTTAGGTTTCCGCTCAATGTCACTTCCTCGGTGCGCGCTCTCTTGACCACTGCCACCTCCCTGTCACCCACATACGAATCCGGCTCTATTTTCCGCCCCAGGACTTAGCGCTGTGCGGTCCCTGAGTGATTCTGGCTCCCCCTCCGGGATGGGAGCTGGACAGGAGGGACCTAGTCCACTTCCCGGCCATTCCCAGGGCCTCCGACGGTGCTCACCGGGGCCCCGCCTAGGGGCTCACAAGGGACACCTGCAGAAGGAGCGAATATATGCAGAATTCTTTCTCATTTTGTTACCCAGCCACAGTTGGGAGCAGTATCAGAGCCCAAAATGGGTATGCCTGTGGGGCTGGGGCAGTGGATGAGTTACTACAGATTTTAATTACCAAAAGCTGATGGGGAAACACGTGAGTACATTGCTTTGGCAATTTAAAAAAACAACCAGGTTTAAAACTGAATTTAATGTTTTTAAGTTATCTTTTCAATAAAATTATTCTTTACATTTTTAAAAGAACAGTGGCAGAATTTACTTCGGAACGCCCCTGAGGCAGAGGCGGGAGGACGCGGGCTAACCTGCCCGCCTCTCCCCAGAGTAGAAGCAGAAGGCGGGGCGGGGTTACAGTCCGCGGCCCCGTTGCTCTCGGAGGAACTGACCCGGAAAGCGGAGCACGCTCCAGCTGAGCTGAGCAGGCATCTGGAGGGACGAATTCGTTCCGTTCCCAGGATGGGCGGCTCCCGAACCTGGGAGGAATCAACGTGAGGTTTTGGTGCCACCTACACGTGAGGGCGGCGATTGCAAGGTGCTGCCCGGGTGGGCTGGCTGGAGTTCCCGGTGGCAAAATCCGGCTGGTGATTCCGAGGCAAGCCTGGGAACTTCCTCTCCCGGCCCGGTTCCTGGGGCAGCAGGGCCCACATCGGCAGCTCCTTTCTGCTGGGTAGGTTGTCTTCTGCGTTCCAGGGTCCATTTGGCCTGCTTCCTAAACTACCGTGTAAGTGCTGTGCAAACGGGGGGGTGGGGGGCTCACAGATAGAGGGTATGGCTCCGGGGAGGGGGTGGGCAGACCCAGGGGAGGAGTGGGCTGAGAAGGGGACCAAAGGCTGCAGGAGCTGTGGGGGTGACCTCAGCCCTTGGCTAAGGCTCTTGTTGCCACCCAGCCTGTCCTCCACATCGGCTCAGTGTGACCTTCTAACCACGATTCCACAGTCTTACAAACCTGTTGACCCCACCGCTCCCGGCCTACTTCCTAGACCCTACGTTATTCCTGCCCAGCCGCCCCGGGCCCCTCTTCGTACTGCCTTCCTGGCATGGTGCTGGCCCAGAGTGGGAGTTCCTGGCGCTTGGGTTAAGCCCCAGCTCTGGCCCTGTACTATGTGGGTTCGTTCCCACATGGGGTAAGTTCCCCAGCCTTCCTCACCTGCCAAATAGGGATCATAATGGTGAAGTGAGGGACTGACCTGGACACGGTCCCCTTGCTTTGCAGCAAACCTCAGGGCCCTGTCCTCCAGAGGGAGACATAATAAACTGTCTTTGGCCTCCGACCACCCCAGGCCAGACTTCTCTCCTTATGCTCTCTGGCTGAGGGGCACTATCAGAAAAAGACATTAGAATTACACAGACTTGACCTGCTCCTCATGCCTCCCGGGCGGAGTCCACACAAAATTGCCCCGGGTTCACGCTTGTCTCTAAACATGAGCTTTCTCATCCCTCAAAGACCACGCAGCCTCAGCTGCCTACCTCCCCCTGAACTCCAGGGTCTCTCTCCTCCCTAAAGCTAACCCTTCCCCTTTCTGCTTCCCATCCTCATTTCACCACGGCCCTGCCCTGTTCCAGGACCTGCCTCTCTCCCTTGGGAGATCCCCTCTTCTGGCACCTATTCCCAGGCCTGTGGAGCTCTACTGCCTCCCTCGCCTCCAGATCAGGGTGAGCGGACAGATGTCATCATCTACTGCCCAAGAATGGCAGCCCTGTGCCCTTCCCAGCTGTCACCTCCATCACATCTTCATACCTGCTGATCATCTGGGGAGACACAGCCTCTCCCCGAGTCAGGGAGAGGGGCTGGCTGAGCACTGAAGGCAGGAGGGAGCCTTGGGCAGGACTGGCCTGAGGAAAGCAGTGTGTCAGGAACGGAGCCAGTGGCTTGCTCAACAGGCTGGGGGTGTGGGGGAGCTGGGTGGGGGGATGGAGGTGGGCGGTGGAGTCAGCCAGGATCCTTGGAACATGAGCACGGGCCTGCAGCCGGGAAGCACCAGGGCAAACCAGGATGAGATAGAGTCGGAAACCAGGAGAGCCTGAGGAACTCAGGACAGGTTGATGGTGGGGAAAGCAAGAGAGCCGTCAGAGGTGCCAGGAACCTGGAGACCGCGGGGGGGGGCCTGCAGGCAATCATGGTTCAGCAGTGACTCCTCTCTGTTCCACCAGTGCTGGCTCGGAAATAGGGCTTCCGGCCTGCCATGAGGATGCAGAAAAAACTTTCTTTCTCTGAGCGGCAAGGAGCACGTTCAATTGTTTATGTCCTCTCCCAGCCCTCTCCCCTCACCACACACAAACACCAGCCACCAAGAAGACCACCTTCCGGGGAGCCCAGAATTGTTCCCCTGGCCATGCCTGTACAGACTGTGAATCTAAGCCTCTCCCGCTGGAAGCCCTGGTGCCATCTCTCCGAGCCACAGGGCCACTGAGATAGATATTTTAACACAATATGTTGTGTTTAACACAATAATGGAAGACTAGGCCCACTGTTCCTGTGGGCGTTTCCTCAGCATTCCCACTCTAATTTAGAGTGCCTTCCTGCTCCACCCCTTTCAGGCAACCCCCCCATCCCTTGTTTTTCCTAGGAGGTAACCTGCTTTGGTGACTGTGTTCAGGCTCAACCACACGTGGAGTACAGCACCCCGAGGGCAGACTGTGCAGCTCCTGGGAGCCCTGAGCTGGTCCCAGCAGAGGTCTGTGGAGGAGGCCCCTGGGGCAGGCCCCCTAATCCTGATGCAGCCAGGCAAAGGGAAGGGAGGGGAAGGCCCTTAGGGAGTGTCGGGAGGGTGAGTCAGGACCAGCCAGGCAGAGGAATGGGAGGCTGGGTTGGCCTCAGCCTGGAAAGCAGAAACACTTGGAAGTAGATGAACTGTGTCTTTGGTGGCCTCCTCCTGGCCCTTCTCTCCCATTCCTCCTGCCTTTGCTAACCAAACCCTCTTCGCCCAGGTTTTACAGCTATTGTGACCAGCCCATGCTCTATCTGTAACACCTGTGATCCAGGGCTTTTGATTTTTACTTCCTTTCTACAGGATTCATTCCCCTGACTAGGAACACCCCTAGCTAAGGCCATGTTCTGGAGGGCAGCTCTTTTTACCTTCTACCTTGGCAGGGAAGTCGAAGCCAGGAGAGGCACAGGGCCCTGGGAAGGGCCCCACAGCCCTGTCACAGGACTTGGATAGGCTCTGAGTTCCCAGGGGAAGGGACTCTACCTCTCTCTCAACACCCACCACACAGCACACAACAGGCCCATAAGCATATGTATTGCCAATTAATGCCTAGGGGAAACCCCATACCCTCAACAGACTTAGTGCCATAAAAACCAGGGCCCTAGAGATGGGTGAGCAAATCGTGGCAATCCAGCAGTGGTGTGCCACACAGCTGTTAGCATGAGCGAGGCAGCGTGGGTGCAGGTCACAAGATGTAGTGTTCACTGGGAAAAAAAAAGCAAAGCACAGAACAGGTACTCCAGTTTGTTGAGAGAGAGAGAGGCTGCTGCAGGTGTGGAATCTCTCTGTGCAGGGAGAAGGAGAGGCAGCAGGGAGTAGTATTAAGTGTCTGGCAGGAAAAGGCCGTAGGGATGGAAGGTGCCATTAGCACTGCACACCCTGCTGTGCAACTTCAATATTTCAATGTGTAGGTAGGATTTTTATAAAGATTTTTAAGAAAAGCAACATATTTTTAAAGTTATAAAAGCTAAAAAAAGGAAAAGAAGAAAAAAAGGGAGGGGAAAGAATAAAGAGGATGACCTTCTAGTGGGCCCCATGCTTATCACAAACAGGGACAAAGGGGGGAGGACAGACATGTGTCCTTTCCAAATGGGGCTGAGTCACTCAGCACTGCAGACATTTTTTGTTCACAAATATTTTCACTTATTTACCTGCAAGGACACTGTGATCCAAGAGGCAAAATCCAGGGCTTTGCTCAGGATCAAATCACCAGGGACAGAACTGTTTTTAGAATCAAGTCCCCTGCTTCCAGCCCCTGAAGTCACTCCTCTACCCTGGCATCCTATCCACTTTTCTTTAGCCTGCTCCGGATTATACAGCATGCACCGCTCTGCTCTCTGGCTTGTCTTCCCTTCCCGTGGAGCTCCCTGGGAAGCTGACCACCCTCATCCTTGATGTCTGTGGTCACTGGTTCAAAGTGTTTAAAGCCAGTCAGCACTTCTTTTCCTTTTCCAACTTCAAGGCTTTTCATAACTATCTGGAACTTACTGGAAGACCTCACTCATACGAAGTCACCTTTTCTACAGGCTCTTGCATATGTATCTTATTTTCTTAACTAAAGGATAAACTTGCAGAGAGGGAGGAATTGTTTTAACCCCAGAGGGCCTGACACAATACTGATTCAATGGTGCAGCTGTGAGAACTGATTATTAATAAAAGCTAGTGTGCACTTAGCCCCCACCAGGCATAGTATGCACTTTCTCTTTTGTCCTTTTCTTATCATATGGGTAATATGCAGTATAAACCCTGTGGCTCTATTTGCTGTAAATATTTTTTTTAATAAATCACAGTTTTCTTTTTTAAAGCTTCTTCAAAAAATGGGGTATGGAGACTGAGGCTCAGATGTTCCATTTGTCCACATGCACACAGACTCCAAGTGGCAAAGCCAGCCTCTCTGATGTTTCCCCCCCCTTTTCTGCTCCCCTTAAACTAGTCACCTTCATAATATCTCAACTTTTCTGTTAAGCACAGAAATATGAAGATCGTGGGAGCTTGTTCTCCTCCTACGCATCCCTGTTGAGCAAGTTGTAGGAAAGCAGACTGTGACTGTGTATGAACTTCTGATGGAGAATGCTTGTCAGAATATAGGGTGTTTTCAATCAGTCAGCCAACCAATGTTTACCTTGAGCCAGGTTTGTAAATACCACTGTGAGCCAAGATAGAAGCCTCTGCCCTTGGAGAACTGATAGGGAGCGCTGACTTTGGGGAAAACAGACATAAACATATAAATAAACAAGAAAATTTCAGTGATAAGCACCATTAGGAAAATACACAATATAGAGCAACAGGTGTGGAAGTGGTAGAGGCAGCGGGGAGGGGTAGCTGGCTACTCAGGCGACTGATTGGGATGGCCTTGACATTCAGGCCATGACCTGAACCGTGAGAAGCCAGCCATGCAGAGACCTGAGAGAAGAGTTTTCAGAAGACAGAACAGAGGAGCTGGGAATGAGCTTGGTGTGTTTGAGGAAGTGAGGAAGTTGAGTCCAGAGGGGTGGGCACAAGAGAGGAGGCTGTATGCTCCCATTACTGAATGGGTCCAAGTAGAACTTAAAGGACTTCTTATCGGTTTTGGAGAAGTTCAGACAAGGTGACCAGTAAGGTCCCTGGGGTGAGATGCAGGGAAGCTACAGGTCTAAGTCAAGCCCACTCTGGTGCTTTCTACCACATACCCACCCTGCCTCAGCTTCTACCCTTCCAGACAGCCACTGATTAAAAATAAAATAAAATAAAACACTGTCATGGGGTAGCTGGGAGATGGTTCTGGAGCTGACTCCATCCACTTCAAGAGGAGCTACTGAACTAGAGGGGTAAGCAAGAGAGAGAGCAATCAGCATTCAAACTATTGCAAAGAAAGAGGATTGAGGAAAGGCTTCCCATCTTCACAGAATCCTGTTCCCAAATAACAGCAACTGGTAGAAATTGAACGTTCCCGCCCTCCCTTTCTTCCTTCCCTTTGCATAAAGCCCCTTGGAGTTTGAAAGGGAAATAAAAACAGAACAGCTCTGGTCAGTTTATTCCTTGTTTTCAACCAACTTTTATCCTAGACCCCAGGGAGGAGTCAGCTTCATGAGCAGCAGCAGTGGTTCTGAACAAATTGTCCTAAGTGTGAGAATGCGCATCTGGAATTACTTAAAAGAAAAGGTCCACCTTAGCCAACGGCTGTGGCCACAGTTGGCAACTATGCATACCTGGACCACGCGACTGGAGGGATGGGAATGAAAGTGCAAGCGCCCGGGTGCCACCGACAGCAAATGGAATCAAGCTGCTCCTTCAGGACAAGCCGGAGCAGGCAGATGGGTCTACAACCACATCCGGAGGGCACGTCTCCTTATCAGGTCCTGGCTTCTGGAACGTGCAGGGTCAGCGTGACTCATGCAGTCTCAAGAGGAGTCCTGGGGCTGCTAAGTACTTCCCAGAGATCAGTGTCATTCAGTTATAGGGAAAAACAATTCACACATTCCCATTTCTGAGTTCACCAGTCACCCCCAAATTAGCAAGTTCTTCCAATTTGGACCTCCAGCTAAAACTTCAGCCCATTTCCCTTTATCTTCAGCAGAGGACATACCACCATTGTTTGTTTCTCCTTACTGGATCCTGATTTTATTTGGGAAATAGCTTTTTTATAAAATATTTGATTATGAAGACTTTTTAAAATATATTGCTGGATTTGGTTTAGGACTTTTACATCTATTTATAGGCGAGATTTGCATTGTTTCTTTTACTACCCTTGTCAGGGTTATGCCGGCTGCATAAAATAATTCTTTATGCCATAAAATAACTTTACATCTTTCCTCTTGAGCTAGTCAAGACTCCCCAAAGAAGACTTCCAATCTCTGGGTGCTAGAGTTCTAGGAGCCAAATATGACCAAAAACACTGAGTCTGCAAATGCTCCATCCCCTCAGGTACAGTCTTCCATTTCTGACATCCAGGACTCAAACACTGTTTTCCCCTCTCAAGAAAAAATCTTGAATCACCTGCTGAGCAGGAGAGGGGCAGTCAGCTAGCTGCCCAAAGTAGGGAGGGGATCTAATAGGCATTCAAGCTTCAGTAACCCTCTTTTCACTCCCAATTCTTGGTGTAATGCTCTCCGATGTTACCGTATCTGAGCTTGTGGGGGCTTGTGCAATGGAAATTGGTTTGCTCATCTCTGGCTGGCTCCACCACTGGTTCAGGATTCAACTTTCTCAGCTCTGCTCAATCTTTCAACACCTCTGTCTGCTTTCCAGCTGTTTCTCCCTTCCTATTGTTTCAAGCTTGCAGATTTGTCTTCTAAACAAATCCCATTCCTGTCACTTTTGACAAAGTTAAAAGCATCTTCTAATTTTCATATATCTGTGGTATCTATACTACCCTTTTGTGTTCAGTCTTTTACCAAAGATTCGTTTGCCTCGTTTTTTTTTTTAATCACTCGTGGCTTTGTTCATCCTATGCTGAATTTCTGCACCTTTTTTATTTCCTTCTACTTTATTTTTACTTGCTATTCTAATTTCTTGAAAAAGATGCTTAACTCAACTTGCAGTTTTATATTCTAATGAACTTTTAAATGCTATAAATTTAAGTACTGCTTTAGGCTGTGTATCTAATTTTAATACATAGTATTTTTATTATTGTTTAGGTTAAAATAACTTTATGGTTTCTTCTTAGACCTATGAGTTAATTTCTAAACATACTGGAGTCTCTTAGTTATCTTTTAATTTTGGTTTCTAACTTAACCACACTGTGGTTTGAGTGTGGTCTGCACATAACAATCCTTTTGAGTCTGTCCAGGTTGACTCTACTGCCCAGTATGTGGTCAACTTTTGAAAAAGTTCCATGCTCAGAAAGAATGTGCACTTAGGTGCAGTGTGTAGATGTCCATTATACCAAACTTATTAAATTTTTTAATCTTCTATATCCTCACCTGAATTTTTGGTTGATCTATCAATAATTGAGAAGTGTGTTAAAATCTTCCATTATGATGTTGGATTATTCATTTTTCCATATATTTTGTTGTATATTTTGAGGTTATTTGGCACACAAATTTAGAATCTTTATATTTTTTTGGAGAATTGAGTAAACATATGATTACATAGTAACCTTTCTCTCTCTTAATCTCTAGTAATGCTGTTTGTTTTAAAGGCTATTTCCAGGGCCACTGTGTTGGACAGCCTCCAAGGAGGCTGGGAAACACACTCCGTGGAGTTAGTCTGGTTATTCGGAGTGGCCCGAACCTTGTTGGTCATTAGCATAGCTATACCAAATTTATTTTGGTTAGTATCTGCCATAGATAGACCTTTTCTATCCTTTTTTAAAACCCAGGTTGATGATGTCTCTTATAATCAGCATATGGCTGAATTTCTTTTAAAAATCCAGTTTGGCAATTTGTCTTTTCTCTCGAACATTTAACCCATTTATATATATTGTAATTCTTGACACATTTAGATTTATTTCTACTACCTTATTTTGGACACTGACATTGTTTTTTTCTCTCCCTTATCTTGTCTTTTTATGGATTATATTCTTGCTTGGAAATTACATCTTCTTGTTTATTTTCTAGTAGTTAAATCTAGATACTTTTAGTACACACAATTAACAAAGTCTCAAGTTAACCAATATACTTTTCTTCTTCCTGAATGACACAAAGACTTTCAAATATGTTTGTCCCAATCTCCTCCCTCCCTATTTCCACGTATTTTGGTTTTATCTTTTCTTGAATACTTTAAGATTTACCTATAGTCACCTGTATAGATGATGCTTATATGTATCACTTTCTTTGATCTTCCTTCTTGTATTTCAGATCTTCCATATTGCACCACTTTTATTCTGTTTAGGTAACAGTTTTTGACTGAAACGGTGTTTTATTTCACCCTTGTTCTTCAAAGACAGTTTCAATTGAGTACAGAATTCTGGGCTCAGTTAATTTCTCACACTTTGAAGATGTATTTCACTGACTTCTGTCTTACATAGTTGCTGGTGAGAAGTTAGCCATCAATCTAATTGTCTTGAAGATTTTGGGAGGGCCAGGATGATAGGGGGCTCAGGACTTAACAGAAATTTTGATTAGGGTGCTATACTTACTTGTTTTCAGTGAAGGGGGCCCGTCTCAGTCCAGCTCTTCCTATGCCTGGACGCAGCAGAGCCTCACTGTCCACCTTGCAGGGACCCTGGATCTGGGTGAAAGAATGGTTGAGTGGCAGGGGCACACGCTCTCTTATATATGGTGCTTGGAAGTCCTCTGCAGAAGCTAGTGAGGATCGGCACAGGCCCGGAAGGATCGTGAGTCCCACAGAGAAGCTGCAGCAGGGAAGCCCTGAACCATCTTGCTGTTGGTTCCTTTCCTTCGTAGCTAAAGAAACACTTCTTAGATCAAATAAGCTACTTACTCTCGTTTAACAAAGTGTTTATTCAAAAGCGTCTCAGCACCATCTAGTCGTCAGAAAGAATGGGTATCTCCTCTTGCCCACCCGGCTCCCGAGCCCAGAGACGCATGTTAGGCCAGAGTGCCCCCTAGTGCCTGGAACTGGAACGGCTTGGTGTCTCACCTAACTTCCTCTATGCCTCTAGTTAATTCGGACTCAAGGAGAGCTGTGCTCCCCAACAGTTCAGACTAATAGGAAGGAATCATGTCAGACTCGATCAACCTCCCCTTCCTGGGCTATAACAGGCACAGAAAATCCAGTGACTGCCACTTAGGAAGGTCAGTGTACTGCCAGGCAGCATGCAGTTCCGAGCTCCAATCTTAGGGCATCCTCCCCTGACTACTCTAGGACAAGGGCCATCAGAGGTCTGTTTTCCCTCCATGCTCCTCAATTATTAAAGCAGACACTGAACCAAACTTTTTGACAGGAGTTAAGATAAACAATTACATTTGATTAAAATGCTAAGAGATCCTGAGCTGTTGGAGATGAGGAGGGCAGGTAGTGTGACCTGATCTTTCCCGTTCTTTTCTTTAAGAATAGTTTGTTTCAGCATAAAGCACACTTTGCCGAAGAGGTTCCTGGAAGAGAAATCCAAGAGTCTGACTGTGTCCTTCCTACAGGAACACGAGTCACCTGTGTAACTTTGGTTTCAGTCCCTGGATCTGTCCTTTGCAGCGACTTCAGGTCCCGTGGGAGGAGGAAAGAGCTGGAGGCAGCATCACTCAGCCAAAGCCCCCATGGGGTCCCAGGCTGGCAGGACAATGGGCTCCTGCTCCAGCACAGTTAGCACCTCTTCAGGGACATGCTTCTTGTCCACCACCACTTCATAGACATATTCAGAGAACCAGTCATCTGTCATGCACAGGTAACCTGGAAAAAAGACCAGAGCCTCATAAGCCCAGACAGCAAGGGGCAAAGAGCAGAACCACTACCGGCACAACAAAGGAGCCTTTTGCAGAGCTGATATCTGTGCGTGTGTTTTAGCTCTCTCATCTATAACTTCACTCAGTCTTATCAATAATTCTGTGAAGCAGACAGGACATAGGATATGGTAAAATTGGATATATTTTTGTATATTATTGGTAAAAAAAGGATATATTTTTACCAATTGGAAAATGGACTCAGAGTAACTAAGGGATGTGCCCAGGTCACAGAGGTGAGGTTCAGAGCTGGGCCCCCCTGAAGCTGCTACCAGAGCCTGTGATGTTCTGTTGCTGAAGGTGAGTGGATGGCCTAGGTGGGCAGAAATGCTTGTTCCCACAGCCACAGCTGGGGTCAATCTCTACGGTCTGCAAGGCAAGCTTACCCTACCCACCTTCTCACACCACCGGCCATTCTCCTTCCTTCCTCTCTATCATAAATCCCTTCCACAATCAGCTAAGCTGCTGGGGGAATCCAGAATGGGCCATGTCCTCATTCCCAGGTAGCCGCTTGTCTGCAGATGACACTGTGTGAGTCAAATAGCACAGTCCTTGCTTTCCCAGGAGGAAATCTGTGGTGAGGACCATGCAGAACTGGAAGTCTGAGCCAGCAGCTCGACCTCGCTTCCTCTTAAGGCCTTAGGCTTTATGGAGTCTCCAATGGGTCAGACTGGAGAGGCCCTGCTATACCAACACCCCAGGTTGACAGCTCAGCTGAGAGAAGAAGTGTGTCCTCAGGTATCCATCCTAGATGCCTGTCTCTTCCCGTTAGGAGGACTAACTTGTAGCTCAGGCTCCACTAGGATGCACAAATTCCTGTTCAACTTAAGCAGTGGGGGAAAAAACGCTCCCCCTGAGCCACCGTTAATACAAAGAACAAAATTAAAGCAAGAGACGACAGTGTATGTATTTAAAGCAAGAATGGGCCGGGGAGAGAGCACAGAGCACAGAAACGTGTAGCTACACAGGACACTGCATGGAGGACTCCTAGCAACTAGCAACCGGTGGTGGCTCACCGTTTCTGGCACCCGCTACATAGTAGACACTTAGCCGTTTTCTCTGAAAGTGTGTGCGCATGCACATCTAGGTCTGTGCTGTACCATTTCTCACTAGAGAGGACGAATCGAAAGGGAGAGGATGGAGGTGTTTCTCTAAGGCGGTCCTCTAGTGCAGCAGTTCTCAAACGTCTTGGTTCCCAAGACAAGGACAAGGCATTTTTAAGATAACTGAGGACTCCAAAAAGTTGTTTATGTTGGTTATACCTACCAGGATCCATCATATTAGAAATTAAAACATAAGTAAAACATACTAATTCACTTAAAAATATGAATTTAAAAACATGATATAAAAAATATACATTTAGGAAAAAATTACTGTACTCTCCAAAACAAAATGAACTTCATTAGGAAAGTGGCACTATTCACAATTTACTGTCTGGCTTCACCAGATAGCTGAATTCTTCTATCAGCTTCTGAGTCCAACCTGTTGTTCTGGTGGAAGTAGATGAAGAAAATCCGGCCTCATGCAGACATACTGCTGGAGAAGGGAAGACTTTGCAGACCCCCTGTAAGGGTCCTGAGACCTGCAGGTGCCCTCAGGCCACACTTTGAGAACTGCTGCTTTAAAGCAAGACTGATTTAGTAATCAAGCTTAATTTTGAAAGCTAAGTGGTGTGATGGTGGACACTATTTGCTTGCTCCAGCGAGTAATCTATGCCCAGTTCTGCTCTCGTTGACAGAAGGCAGTGGCTGCCCATCCTGATGTGGCCCAGCACACTTACCTCACCAGAAAATGTCCTGGAAAAGTGCACAAGGGCTTCGACCCAGTCATTTTAAGGGAATGTGTCCGCGTCTCCTGATGCCGGCCTGTTTCTCTCAACAGGAGACAGAAGGCAGAGGAGCACAAGGCTGCAGCTCGTGCCATTTCTGGTCTCTGTTTTGAGTACCTCCCCCCGGAGTCCCTGGCTTTGCTTGTGCCAGTCAGGACCTGACCCTTACCTTCCCTGCACTACCGCCACTAAGTTCTAGCAACCGAAGCTTGGTCAGTGGGAAGGCCAACCAGGACCATGTCCTGCTGCATTCTGAGGAGCTCAGCATATGACTCCCCCAAAAGGAGTTTTCAGCGGACAGAAGAGCAGAGCAACTACTAAACACTCGACCTTTGAGACATTAGTTGCCCTTCCCTCACCCCAACGCAGGCTGCATTGGTCCTCCAAGCAGCGCTGGACAGTGAGGCAGGTGAAGGATAGAGGTGGATTCATGTAATAAAGTTCTGTGTCCTTATGACAATATTATCATCACACAATCAAATGAGTCTTAAAAGAATGCACAGAGAAAATGGACAGTAAGTACATCTACACTATCTTGTTCCAAAAGGAGCAGATCAGATTAAGTCCTTACAAATTAAAACTCCTATCAATTGCATCCACCCTCTCAGGGTCCCTGCCCAGAAGACCTGTGCTGACTAGCCTCTATCTTCAGGATATGAGTTCTTCGGGGGCCGGCAAAGAACTCACCGTCTAGGTGGCTGCCAAGTAATTGCACCCTGAGTAGATAATGAACTTGGGGCTGCTGTTACTGTTGATTCTGCACGTCTTGGAGAAGTCTGAGAAGATTAGGATCAGTATGTCTGTAGCCCACAGGAGTGCTGTGTAAGGCGGCAGCCAAGTGCCCCCCCAGGCTGGTGTAAAGTGGCCATGTTTAGCTGAGGGAAGCTGCAGCTTCTAGCCCTTAAGCACTGTGGCCATTAGGAACAGGCGTTCCCCAAGGAGAAAGGAAAAGTAAAGAAAAATCTGCTCCAGGAATCCCAAGGTTCCACTTAGAAAAACAAACAGTTTGGCGGATAAAGTCAGCTTTAGGAACTAAGGTGTAATTAAGTTTTGTTTAATCGTCAAAGTCTTGTTTACACACAATGAAAAAGAAAGTGAACGGTCCCAAAGAAACTGGCTTTGCTTCTACATTTGTTAAGAGAAAAGGTAGTGTTGCTCTGTAAAGGGAAAAGCTGCCTGTGGATAGAGTTCTAGACCAGTTAGGCCAGAATCACTCTGAAACGGTAGTTTTGAGGAGGTTAGTTTAAGGGAAAGAAAACCTTTACCTGAGAAAACAGTTTTCTGAAATCCTATCAGAGATCCAAGATTTAAAACCTCTCAGACTCCATTAAGGTGATAAAAATACTACCATTTGTGAATTAGATGTACTTTACATTTTTTGCTGTCTTTGTTCTAGGAAGCATTTCACCTCACTAACAAACTACTATTTGTTAGTTTTTTTTTTAACTATTTTTAAAAACTGTGATAAAACCAAGTCACCTATTCTGCTCTTAAGGGTGCGCCTGGCAGCATGGACCTGAGCGAGTCGGCCGACCGAGGCCCCATTACTGCCATCCTCCCTGACGTGGTGACTCAAGGTTGAAGAAGGGCCCAGAGGGAAGGCAAAAAGCTCACAGGCGCTTGTCTCATGTTTCAAACTTCCTAACAGTGAGAAACCATTTAACAGGACATTGACCAGTCATTTAAAATGAAGTTTTTAAGACTATGTAGCAACATGCAAATATGTTTAAGTAACAAAAGTAAAGTCTGTAAAAATGGTGTATCTTATTCAATTACAACTATGTCACAAATCCAGATTGGGATTTGTGGGGTGGGGAGGGAAACATGAAAAAAAGAAACAAAATGATAGTGCAGGTGATTTTCCCCTCAAAATTTCTTAAGTTTGACATTTGGTTTTTTTTGTTTTTTTTTTTTTGACATTTGGTTTTTGACTCCTTCAAGACTACCCCAAAATTAGTGCTCATTATTAAAAATTTTGGAAACATGGGAGGAGGAGGAAGGTGAGGTGGAGAAAGAAGAGGTAAATGAGGAGAGAGGACAAATAGAAATTTAAAAACTGCCTATAATCCTACTACCTGGGGATAAGCCTTGCTCAGATTTTACATACATCCTTTGATAATGTTTCTACATGTAGACGTTTAATAAAAATGAGACATCATACATGCTTTTTTATTACAAAGTACCAAACATGCTGTCCATGATTAAAAAAATACATCTCTTTCCATATTGATTAAAAAATACATATACGTACATCAACGTTTTTAAGTACTGAATTTGCCTGAGTAAGTGAAGTGTAATTTAATCAGTCCCCCACTGCAGGACTCTATTGTTTTTTCGTACTTAGAAACAACAATGCCATAAACGTTTTTATAACTAAGCCTTTGTACACATTTTCAATTATTTCATTTCCTTGTATTCTCATCAATAGTTGAAATATAAAATTACAAACTTTCTTTTTGGGTCCAATTTGAATCTTTTTGTGTGTTTTCAGTTGTTATTTACAGTTTTCTTCTGTAATATGCCTGTCTGGGGATCTCTGCCTCTTTTTACCCATTTGCCTTTTTCACAATGATCAGAAATAGCACACTATGTATTTATACATTATAATAGTTGCATACATTTTTCTTATTATGTAATTTGCCTTCTACTTTAGTTTATGAAGTTTTCTAGTCTACCAAAATTTTTTAGTTTTATGAAGTCAATCTTTTCCTGTGGTTTCTAATTTTGGTGTTAGGGTTACCAACATTTTCTGCTACTATAATGAAAAGATAAGTAAGAGAAAAAGGTAGGCTAAGTGGTAAGAAAACATCAGAAACATAATCTCAATGAAAAACCCATCACTCACTAAGGCTGTGGCACTGTCTAGTCCAACAACTATGAACATACACAACTTAACAGGGAAGTAAGTAGCGATGATCTGCCAACCACTTCTGTTAGGTACTCACTAGTAAAGCATGCCCCGATAACCTTACATTTGTATAGAGTATGTTGCAGGTGTGCAAAATGACACAATCCCTATGGAATGCAATTTGGCAACATCTAGAAAAATTTCAAATGCATTTATCCTCTTTGCTAAGTGACACCATTTCTGGAATTTCATCCTACAGACAGTACTTGCATGC